CGATGGTCATTAGTAGACGTTTGCGAATGTTTTAACGTTCAAAGTGGCCTCACTTCTCATGTTTACACCGCTATATAGCATGCATATAGTATAGGTGTGTAAAGGCTAATTGATTGCGTTGTTTTGTGAATATTGATGAGTCAAAAGTCGATCATCTTACGTGTGCATGTCGGAACGGGATTACTCCATGTTCCGCCAGCTTGGCAGGTCGTACTAGCAGCGCCGCTCAGTTGGTATCCCGCGTTACAGGTGGTCGTGACCACGATCCGGATGGCGGTATCTGTGGTACTGAGCGCTCCGTTAGCCGGGGCCGTCAGAGTCGGACATTGGATCGCTGAAATGGAAAGTAGAGAAATGAACATCTTGTCAAATCTTAAGACCAAATCAAATCTGTTCTATGTGAGTCTATTTGATATCTAGGTCATATATCAATATTGGTAGAAAGTTACGTCGACATAGTTGCATTCTATCTTTCATCAGCCTGGCAGTGCCTGAGCAGTGCCACATCTAGGAAAGTGTATGCCCGATAGGACATAGACTAGTGAGTGCAAGAAATTATCATTATATTCATTTGCAAATCCTGTGTGGTACGTCATCAGTGATTTTGAATGGAAGGTATGGGCAGGACGCCTACAGGAACTGTTACAGGCGTAGTACTCACCGTTACAAATGTTCTCCCTTATAGGTGCGGCGCGCGCGTCTTGCTCAAGGAAATCGTGGTCCGTCAGTCTGAACACCCTGTTAGGATCACCAGCAATAGTCTCTAGTGTTGCTTGATGAATGTCGCTTTCCTCGCCAACGCCCACCACAAACACGGTGATGCCCATGTCGCGCACGAGCTGTGCCGGGCCGCTGACGGAGTCCTCAGATTCATCGTCGGTCAGTACGATCAAAAAGTCCGGAGTACTGCTCCGCCGGCCGTTTGCAGGGAGGAAGGAATTGTTGCGCACGTGGTCGAGACCAAGTCCAGTGAAGGTATGCCCTCTGTCGTAGGGAATGTTGCGGATCTCAGTTAAGAGCTCAACTCGGTCGTACTTTTCATTGAGCTTAATGCGGGTAACCTGCTCGTCCTCGTTGCTGTACGTCACAACACCGACCCTTGTGTCGTCTTCTCCCAATGTAAAATAGTTGACTACATTCTGGACAAACGTCTTTGCATCCTCGAAGCCGCTTGTCCTGAAACTCTCCGAGCTGTCTACGAGGAAGACCAGGTCTACTGGATAAGGGCACAGGGTGGCTGAAAAGATACGTTTGATAAAAATGTATGTTTGATATAGTTGACATGACACCAAATTGAACAGTGATAACTTCATGGTTTGAATCAATTGTAGCTAGTTATCAACATTGCAAAAGTATCAACATTGCATGGTCAAAAAGAGCATTTAAATTGAATTGTCAAAGAAGAGCATTTATATAAAATGGTCAAAAAAAGAGCATTTACATAGAATGGTAAAAAAGGAAGCATTTACGTTGAATGGTCAAAAAGAGCATTTACATTGGAATATCAAAAATGAGCATTTAGGCCATGTTGATTTGATTATATTGATGGCATCAGCGCGCGCATGAAGTTTCGTCCGTTTCCAAAAAAAGTTTTCGACCATACTGTATATCGTACAAGATGAGCGAATATATGTCGTATGTTGCAAAGAAAAGTATTGGAGAACGATACTAATGTCATAGAATGCCGAAATCAATTAAGGAAAAGACGAAAATGTGAAAAAATGAAAATGATGAGTCTATTATTATTCGCCATACCATACTCTGTGTGTTTTGTCATTTGTTCAACCTTTATGACCACGTAGATTTCATAATGAAGGAAACTTTTTTGCCATTTTTTTCATTCGCACGCTCGCTCGCGTCAGTTTTGGGGTTCCCAGAAGATACATCCATACAATCAAATCAACATGGCCTTATATAGAATGTGCAAAAAAGAGCATTTACATTGCTTGTAATCAATGTAACTGCAATATATGAAGTTCTGTGCATACCTTATGCATTGTAAATGCACATATTTTATCAATGTGAAATATTATCAGAGAAAAGCAATCAACATTACACGATATTTTTTTTTCTGCTACACAGATTGTGAATAAGATATAAGCATACTTACGTAATGCTGGTGGAAGCGTGGAGGCTGAAAGATAAAAAGGGGGTATGTTTGAGTTTAATGAGATAGCGACCCTCTATCTCATTAATTCATTAGAAGAAGTATCTAGTGTATGTAGTGAAATAATGCGATACGTTTGAGACAACCGTTATCACGTGTGAAGGTAGTTATCACGGTTTGCGACTGAAATTGTTTTTTGAAATAAAAAATGAGATAAACAGCCAAAGCTCTGCGCAAAACCTGTAATATATTGTGCTGTCTTTTTTAGAATATGCTAAACAGGCAGGTGAAAGTTCACCCATAGTT